AATAAATGCTAAATGAGAAAAAATTTCAAAACTCGCTCTGCTTTAGCCGACCCCCATTTTTGGTAAAATCCCTGACTGCACTTGTTAATACGACTATATACATTTAGCCGTTTGCCTCTTTCATAATTGCAAATCACTCAATCCTCTTAAAAGCGTAACCGGAACTAACTCCATATTTTACTCAGCATAAATCGGTATTTGTTATTAATTCTCTAATATCCGTCGCTATAGTAAAATGTTATACCGAACTTCTAAAAGGTAGTTTCGGGTGTAACAGTCCTTAGATTTATATTACAACCACAATTCATGATTGTAGGTGAAAAATCAAAAATGTAGAAAAAATTATAAAAAGTTTGTTATTAAAAAATGTCCGAAATAAGAAAAGACATATTTTTGGAAAAACTATTCCTGCTTTAATATAAATAGAACACCGAAATAAAATTTGCGTTGACGTTTTGAATTTAGGGAAACTAAATTATAAAGTGTAAACTCGTTCTTTAGCATTGTATACGAAATAGAGAACCATTCATTGCATAGTTATAGTTAATAAAGCTTCACTACTTTGACTTTTAATTATTGGTTTCATGTGAAGGGAGTGTGAGAGTATGTTGAACTAGTGCAGTAGTGCCAGAGGCATGGGGTTCTTATAATTTAATAAATTTGGTCAGTCTCATGGTTTTTACAGTATATCGTGTCTCGGGTCACGCAGAAATTTCACTCAAATGCTGTTGGTTCATTTTTGATTGTACCTATACAATTTCGATAGCAGAATCCAAGATGCCAAGATTGTGTTGTTCATTTAGATTGCGACTATTAGCATGTTTCAAAGACTACCCAAATGCTTTTCGTATCCATCAATAGCAGACTTTGGATGTCAAATGAACATCTTATGCGTACCTTATCAACAAGTAATTAGTATTATACTGCATGTTCTTATCATTTCCGACGCATTTTGTTGATATATGCTTCATTTTTCGGCACCAATCCCATATTTTCATAAGGATCCGTATTATTTCACCGAAAATCACTTCCCCGAAAATTAATTTTCAGACAAGCTTATTTTACCGACAATTAATGCACAAACAAGTTCATTTCACAGACAATTTGTTTTCGACAAATTTTTTTATAAATTGCACTAATCTTAACTCTAATTCTAAACCTGATTCTATCAACAATGGCCAGTATTTCTTGGCCGGTGAAATTATCGGAACCGTTTTCATAACAACTCCCAAGACGATTTGTATTTCACTAACAGCATCCATGTTCAATCCTTGATACTTGATGAATGCTTTACGTTTATTTCTTTCATCTACAATTCAATATTTGAACAAATTAACTTCTTGATTTTTATCAGCGGTCCATTCATCTAATAAAACCCTCTTGTAGAAAGCACTAACGATTCTAACGTTATCAAGTTCTTTTTGTAATAGAAAATTTTCCATTTTAATGACCAGAATTTAGAAAGAAATGTAAATCGAGTTTAGGGGAAATTTGGACGAAATGTAGAAACGAAATTTAGGAAAAAAAATATAGATAGAATTTAGGGTGGAATTTAGGATAGGGAGCTTCCACTTATTACGTAAATATAGCCCCCCTCCAGAGTCAGTCATTTGACAATTACAAGTTCTAAATAATCAATCGGTTAACAATTGCAAGCTCTAAAATAACCAATCGTATAGAGTTATATTATGATTACTTTAGAACTTGTAATTGTCAAATGATTGACTCTGGAGGGGCTATATTTACATAATAAGTGGAAGTTCCCATAGATCGAATTTAGGTAAATGGAGTTTAGGTTAGAATTTAGGTAAGATTAGATGGGATTAAGGTTAGACAGGATTTATTTTAGAATGAATTTAATTTCGACGGAATTTAATTTCGTTTGATCCAATAGTGTCCCGCATATCTATTACTTTTTTGTAATGTTCAAAAACTGTCCTTGTCATTGTGATTGCAACTCATTCCGTTGTTGAGATCTTTATTCTTAATGTTGTGACTTTCATTCTTTATCACCAATTCCATTTTCATAACCATCCGAGCATATAAGGTGAGGTCGGGTATTATGACGCACTCAAGAGTGCTAATAGTAAAGTCCTTGGAAAAATATATATTATTCCTATAACTTATTGAAATAAACTAATATTTTTCGACTTAATTTCTATCGACAAGCTAAAAAAAATAAAAAAAAAAAAAAAAAAAAAACCTTAAATTTTTTTAAAAAATTTGCAATTCAGAACTTTCAAAATCTAACGACCTACCCGATTCTTCTCAATAGCCAAATTTATATTTCATCGGTAGCAATTGAATTCAGATTCTTTGTCGGGGATGATGCTGAAATTTTGACTTATTTTATTATGAAAATTTTTAAAATTTTTTTGGGGTGTTTTGTTCAGCCTTTTTTTTATAGTTCGATTAGAATTTAGGGTTAGTTTTTATAATAAAAGAGTATAGGTGGATTTTAGTAAGGTTTATATTTTCAAATTAAGACCCCAAATTTCAGCATAATCCCCGACATTCTTTAAGTGAAGAAACAATTACAGATAATTTTGGTAATACTGTATAACATTCTTTTTAGTTTGGTAATTAACTAATATTTGGCCAATAATACAATTCCTATTCTTTAGAATACGAGGTGAGAAAAATTTCAACCGTAATAAATATGAAAACTGTGATGTTTTTTGAGCGGGAGGTATTATGACGCACTACGTACGTACTGTACGTATGCATATACAGTACGTATCAATATTCAGTATTGCGTTAAGTATATGCAGATAACTCCTTTTATATTGATCTTTTCTCCCGAAATTTGTTGATAGGAAAAAAGAAAAATACATAATTACTACACCATAATATTTAACTATTCCTCAAGTCAGAACTGATTAATCTTTATATTATTCGATTCGTCTTAGTAAAATGAATCAAATGGTACTAAAATTGTTCGATTCTGATCAGTGTATCGCAAGATATCGTCAAAAATGTAAGTGCGTCACAGTACCCTTCCGCGTAATAATGCCCGACCTCACCTTATGTTCCACCAATATCACCCACATTACCAGATTTCTAATGATATTCAACCATTTTCTTTTCAGCACCGCCATCTTTTATGAATCTCTTATAATGATTCTTTGCCCAATACATTTTTGATTTAATATCATAACGTTTTTCTGTATAATTCATGTTACGACCGAAACTAACCTGTACATTCGTCGCTCTCTTAATCTAGCTTGTAACACTATTCAGGTATATTAAGTTTAAATCTATACCGGGTTGATGAAAAGTAACTGGACAGTGACTTTTTTTTAATCATTATTATTTTAGCGCCTTTGTTTTTAATAATAATGATTATTGTTTTTTTTTAATCACAATGATTATCGTTTTAATGCTATAAATATAATATACAGTATATATCGATATACTTTACAGAAACTTGAATATCTTAATGCACAATAACTGCATAGTGACTATATAGTTACTATTAAATTTAATAGTGATCATATAATTATATACTACATAATTTACTGCGCATTAAGATATTCAAGTTTCTGTATAGTAAAAATAAATTCTAACTCGTAATTTTAATGGGGATAGTAAAAAAGGTCTCTGTCCAGTTACTTTTCACAACCTGGTTATGTGGAATCTGTACAGGTTGACGATTCATTCCCAAGCAAATTTTTTAAGAATCTGTGAATTTTATTGTACGTCACTTTTTTTTGAATTTATGTTTACAAAATTTATTAAGACTTTCCGCATATTAAAATAAAATTGCATTTTAAACACTGACATCTTGTTCTCTTCAGCGCTCAAAGTAACTACTCAAGTTTATTTCATTGTTAATTTATTAGGTATGAATACCGTTAATTCATCAATGTTTCCGGTTATAAGTAGCTCATCAATGTTTCCTGTCTAATACGGTTATAAGTATGAATATCAATGTTTCCTGTCTAATTACGGTTATAATTGTTTACGATTAATTAATTGTAATCAGTTTTCTAAATTTGAGATGATTTCTTCTTTTGAACTATTAACTAAAATTGCTCAGAATTAAATTTTGTTCATACTATATCATAAAAAAAAGGCAAGATACCTTCTCTGAAATCCGAAATTAGGCTACCGATCGGTTACTGACCGGTTATAACCGATGATAAATTTTAATTTCTAAATTTAGAGAAGGTATCTTGTTTTTGCTTATGGGATAGTATGAATAGAATTTAGTTTTAAACAATCTTTAACGTTAATGGCTCAAAAAGAAAAAAAAATCATTACAAATTTAGTAAATTGATTATAATAATAACCGATAACTGGCCATAACCGACCGAACCCATCCCAATGACTAACATGTTGTATCGAAAAACAAATCACCAAGCAAGGATGAATAGCTTTGTAACCTAACGTTCGGTTAGGATGGTTAGAGCTACATAGGTGGTATAATAATAACATACAATGAATATTATTTAAGAGCTCATACAAATTTTATTTTAAACGACGAATTATAATTTGTGGTCTATAACACGTGAAATTGATCAAACTTTTTGATTGGTGCGATTGTTGAATGATTTCATTTTTCCTTTTCAATCTATAGATCTATCCAATCACAAAAAATTAACAAGTTCGAAAAAAAAAAATCATTGAATTTGGGTTTTAACTCTTATTCGTTTTGCTTCTGACAAATTATATGTATAAAAATGTCTTCTATCATCGATGTCAGCGAACGAAAAATTCGTCCGATTTATGGTATGATTTATTTATTTCCTTTGATTAATTTTGTATATTCATATGATGGATATATTTCTGCATTTAGAGGCAATTGACAACTGCAGCTACAAGACTGCATTACAACAATGTAACAAATTACTTAAAAAACAACCGGATGCACTCATATTAAAGGCATACATTTTATTATTTTCATATGAAGTAGTTTTTTAAAAATTCCTATCTTTTTTTTTTTTTTTTTAATAATTTTGTTTAAAATATAGGCATTGAAAGGTTTGGTTTTAGAAAGAATGGGAAAATCTGATGAAGCCTTACAATTATGCGATCAAGTGAGAGACAAAAGTCCAGTCGATGAACCAATTTTACAGGCACTTACCATGGTTTATAGATCATTAGGCAGACGTAATTGATAATTTAATAATCTCATCTCTAAAATTATTTGGATATTTACTAGTATTATTATATAAAATTACAGATGATGAAATCGTTAAGATATACGACAATGCTACGCGTAAGAATCCCAATAATGAAGAACTCAGTAATCATTGGTTCATGGCAATGGTTCGAAATAGTGATTTTAAGGGACAGCAGCAAGTATGTAAAATTCGTTTATAAAATAAATTTAATTATATTATTTATACAGAACCTTTATGATTCGTCAGGTTGCTTTAAAGCTGCATAAGAATTTCAAGTTAAACAAATATTTGTTTTGGGCAATAATGAGTCTGGTATTACAGGTAAAGAAAGAGGACATTACGAGTTGTTACTCCTTAACCAATTATCCGCTTCTCCTGATTATGTATTTCTTAGGCTGAGAATGCACCGGCTAGTCAATCAGGAATTTTTTTAGAATTAGCCGAGCGTATGATGGACAAAGCTGTGAAAGAAGGGAAATTAGAGCAAACTGAAGGTTTTTTTTTTATTTTTTTTGAATTATTCAATATTTTAGATGAATCCATATTCATCATTAATCTTTCGTTTTCCTCTAATTAGAGGTTCACCTTTATTTAATTGTATTACTGGCCCAAAATAAATTTAAAGTGGCTTTAGATGTCTTAGAAGGTGAACTGGGTAAAAAATGCAAAGAAGACGTTGAAATTAATCGCATTCGGAATGATTTGTTCCTTAAAACAGGCAATTGGATTAAAGCGATTGAGATGAGCAAAAAGTCGTTAACAGAATCGAAGTTGGTAGATTGATTCTTTTACTTAGAAAAATGAGATCAATATTTTTATAAGTTTCAAATCATATGACATGACTTCAATTATACATAGTCCGGATGACTGGAACAGTTATATCACGTATTTAGAATCCTATTTACATCTACTTTCTGAACCTAACAAGAGTGAGAATGGTAGCAGGTATACTTATTTAATCGATCAATTGATTTTGACTATTGGCAAATATTTAATTGAGATCAATTTACCATGTTCATTATATAAAACAGTTCAGCTCCTGCCAACTTGGACGAAGCTCGTGAGTTTTTGTATTCATTGCAAAAAAGTGTGACAGAAAGCTCTGAAATCAAACGTGGTCCTTTTCTTGCTGAGCTTAAGTTGGAAAAGTACATAGACGAAAAATTAAAAGATTGTATGTCGATAACAATATTATGTTTTGTAAATCAATTTATTGTTTGTGATAAATATAATATGTAATATTAGGTAAACCGGCAAAAGAAATCGATACCCTTGTTGCCGATTATTTTCTCAGGTTTGGATCCAAAGCATGCTGCTTCGAAGATTTGCAACTTTATTTGAAAGAAATTCATATAGATTCGGCTAAAAAAATAATCGACAAATTCAAAGCCACAATCGACGAGTCGGATGATGATAAGGTTCTTGGCATTTTTTTTTAGATCCAGTAGCGTATTATATATAACATGGCACGTAGATTTTATTAATATTTAATTTTATAATAGTCTAAGATTCAAAACATCAAAAAAAATGTAAATATTCATAAATTTGAGAGATATCTAAATTTACTTGTAGAATATAACGAGAGCGAATCAATACAATATGTTAATAAACTATGGCAATCATACAAAGACTCGCTTCAATATGGTATTTATTTTTTTACATGAATAATCTAAGATTTTGAGCCATATGTAATTGATTAAATTTCGTATTTGCAGGAACCAAGTTGCTAGAATCGGAAAATCAATACGGTGACGACTTTGTCATATTGTGTTCACATGTTTTAATCGATTTATATAAAAAAGTTGGTGAGTCTTAGTTACACATTTAGATATTCGTTATCAGGTAACCTGTGTAGATAATATTTAAACAAATATTCTTTTTCGATTAAAGGCAAAAGCTGTTATATCTTTCAAGCAATTTTTCTTTTAGAAGCTGCAATGAAAAAAAGCAATTATAATTTCCAGTTTAAATTACTTTTGATAAGATTGTATCAAACTATTGGTTAGCTAATTTTTCTCCATCAGCTCAATCGGCAAAGTTAATTTGCTTATATTGCTATCGAATCTTACTCAATAGGTATCTTCGATAGGCCATCAGAGCTATATAAATCAATGGATATTAAACATGTTCAGCTGGATACTATGAGGTATCAACACGTTTGTGCAAATATTCATAATATAACCATAATATAATAATGGTAGTATTTTTTTTCATAGTCATTACATAGTTTCACGGTCTTTTTCATCAGGATTCTTTGAAGAATCTACTCAAGCTTGTTATGATACATTGCCTATTTATCGTAGTAATGAACATGAGGTGTATATAACTTAACGTTCGAATTATATTATCATTATATGAATTACTGATTACAGTAATTTTTGCAGACACCCGAAATGATAGTACAAGCATTCAAATATACAACGTATTCCAAAGTAAATTGTATAATTATGTTTTGACGTGTTAAATTTTATGATTTTTAGTTTATAACCATTTTTACAAATTAATGCTTTCAGATTCAAGAATTCGTTGCACTTCGGAAAGAACTTGAAAATTCTTTACAGAAAGCTCTCGTTTATCGAGAAATGATACGATTAGAAATTTTAATTTCTTCAAAAACCGATAAACAAATAATAGAGTATTTACAAGACTTGGAGGTTTCTGATCTTTCATACGATGGTATCCTAGCAATATTTTCTTCTTTTATGAATGTGTGTCTTTTACGTTCTAAAAATAATTATTTGATTTTTTGTTTAGATGGTTTTTGTACAAATCTTCGAGATAACAGAGACTTTATTTCCATGCCAAACTACAACCCTGATAGCAAGCCAACGATGGAAGAGATCACTAGATTATCGCCAAAACTTGATGTATGCGACCTCAGCATTATTATAATGATATATAATATCTTATATTAATCTGAACTATTTTTAAACATCAATTTACAGAAAACATGGCTTAAAATGTTCTCAATTATTCCGCGTCTTTTGAAATGCATACATGTTGAGCAGAATACCAATAACGTCAATCAGCTAGTTGAAGAATTAGAAAAAGTATTAACTCAGGAGACCAATGATAATGTATATAACCCTATTTTTTTTTGACTGATTATTTATAGTTCATTTAAAAATTCTTAATTTAAAATTACCATAGATAATGGAACAGGAAATGCAACTTGGCAATGTAATTGCAAAACTTGGCCGTCTTGTAATGGCCGTAAAGGAAATTCAAAATGGGCAAAAAGGTATATCAGTGAATGTGCAAATTCAATTTCGATACTTATTTGCATTTCGTTTATCATTATGATTATTGTTATTTTAAAAGAATTTGTCCAGAATTTCGAGTTGGTTACTGAAGAGCTTATCAATGCAATAAAAGGTAATTTTACCTAAATTGATGGCATGCACCTATTACCGTATACTTAATTGGCAGCATATTATTTTAGCTTCGGAACCCATTGACAATTCTCAAATAAAATTATATGATATTAAATGGATGCTGTTTCATCATCTGACTTCTTTCTTCGAGGTATGTAATAATCAAGCCATATTATACAATATATTGGAAATATTTTTAACACCAACTTTTTTAATTGATCTGAGTTAGATATGCAATTATGCTCTGATCGGATTTGGGCTTTTAAATGAAACACTAAGTGTCAAAAATAAGAAATCTGGTCTAAGAGCATTGGTAAATGATAATAAGTGGAATAAATATTTTTTAGCTTATATCGTTAATTGCTTTTAATCTTATTTTTTCAATTCTTTTTAGGCCCAAAAACTTCAAAATATGTCTTTGACAATAAAGAACCACCTTACATCTTTAAAAAAACAATTAAGTTGCTTGAATGAACTTTTTAAAAACGATGTGGAAGATTGTGATCAAATTTTGCTTTACATTAAATCTGAACCACATGTTGAGTTTTGCGACGAGGAGGTAAATAAATGCTGTTACGTATCTATAATTATATACAATTGTTATTCAGATAAAGGCTTATTTTTTTCCCATGAAATAGGAAAGTATACCGTTTATTAGAGAAATTTTAGGTAAGATTAAAACAAATTGGCAAAACAACATTTTGAATATGATTAAAGAGATAGAAAGTAAAGTTGAAACAACTGAAAAATAGATTATTTATTTACACATGCATAATCATTTGTAAAGCTGTGTCATTTCTGTCCTAGCTAGGATTCGCTTTTTGTTTATAGGTTTTAAAAGATTTGTTTAGTTAGATATTAATTTATACAATTTTGTGACATAAATTATAACTATTGCATTTACTTTTTTTTGGTATATCGTTTATAATAAACATGAACAATTTATAAAATAATTTATGGCGACTATTTCCACACCCCTTTTTTGATATTTCCATACCCTTGTAGATCACTTTGTTTTAAAACTTTAATCGAAGGTATCTTGACGACCACCTGATCAAATTGATAAATTTTTTTTTTATTTGAATTCTACGAGTCTAGAATTCAAATTAAAAAAAAAAAAAATCATCGAAATTAGTCAGGTGGTTATCGAGATACCTTCAATCAAAGTTAGAGAAAATTTTGCCGCGGCTATTATTTTGATGGGCGTTTAGATTTTTTTTTAAACCAAATTCAATGAATTTTTTTTATTCGAATAAATAAAAAAATTCATCGAATTTGGTCAGGTGGTTATCGAAAATTTTGTCACGGATATTATTTTGATAGACATTAAGGTAACAGGGGGAACCGTCCAATGTTACACGAAGTTCATGTATTGTCATATGCTGTTCAGCCAATCAAATCGTAAGATTTAAAAGAATAAAAAAGAACGAAATTCAAAGCAAAATTGAAACCCCAATGAATTTAGAATTATAAATAAACGAATTATATGTTTCTG